GTATTGGATACTTTCATTGGACACTAGTCAGTGACTAGTGTGATGTGTCTGGCTAGTCCTTTGTTTGTTTGGTGCAGACTGAGTTCTATCAGTCAGTCACGTTTGCAATGTGGCCACCTTTCTAGGTAACGTCTCTGATTGCTGGTAGCACTGGGTGACGCAGGTTCGAATCTAAGAAGGGACATGAGTTCCTTCAATGTGATTGCAGATACGCCTTGCTGACTGGTGAGTGACGACTAGCACAAAACCTAGGCCTTCCAATGCTTCTTGCGGCCGATTGCCTCTAACCATCTAATATCATCGAATCAATGAACACCGTGATGGCGAGCGAGCTACCTAGATTGTTGGTGGCCACATTGCAAACGTGACTGACTGATAGAATTCAGTCTGCACTAAACAAACAAAGTACTAGCCAGACACACACACTAGTTACTAGTGTCCAGTGAAAGTACTGATCACACACTGTTTTGCACATACAAACTATCCCTCATATACATTGATTAATTATTTTATTTCTACTAACTGACAGTAAATAACCTCTGAGCTTTTATTGCTTATTAACACTGTATACATAAGCCACTAGACAACTGTACAGATTTGCAGAGACTATCCGCAAAGAGATCTCTCTGCTTACTTGTGCTCTTGATTCCCAAATGAGTTGGTTCGTACATCCAAGATTCACTTGGACAGCATTAAGATATCATTTAGAATCACGAAGATGATAAATAGGTCTCCTTAAAATACATAAAATGACTTGTAGATCAGTAAAGAACAAGTCCAAAATCCAATTCTGAGCCGACTGCTACCGACTGCCTTTTTTTTCCTTCACGTTTCCCAGTGGAACATATGGCTTCAAGCTAGTGGCTTGAAGTCTCTGTAGCAGTGTTTATTTTACAGGATGGGATTGCTAGTCTCATGCCCAACCTCCCCTCTTTACCAGTCTTATTACTGACTTAGTGAGGTAAAGGAGTGCGTCGATGGCCGGAGATCGAACCCCGGACCATGTGCATGGTCGGCGAGCGTCCTAACCGCTATGCCACCGACGCACTCACGACTGACTGCTAACACTGAATAGCACCGATGTGCAGCAGTTCGAGTTGCCAAGTTCCAAATAACACACAAAGGTAGACAAGAAGATGATGAGTGAAGAGAATCAATAGAGTTTTGACAAGTATAAGAGTGAAACAGAATGAGTAATGATAGAAAGGAATATGAAAGATTACAGAGACTGAATACATCTGCGTAAGCCATTGACAACGATTTTGGGCCATGTCACCTATTGTCTCCAGCCATTGATTCTTAGAGTCCCAAGGGCCCCAACCCGGAAGTCTGCATCTCCCTATCTCACTGACTCAGTTTAACTGTCAAGGATTTCATGGATTGATTGATGACATGTTTTTGTTTGGCCACCACTTACTCTTTTCCAACCAACCTGCACCTATATCAGCTAGTAATGCCCGTCGGGGGAGGCGATGGTTAGGCATGAGCAGCACGTGATCTAGCCATCTCAATCTATGTAACTTTATAGCCTCGTCGATTGATTTTCCCACTTTACCCAACACTCTACGCCTAACGTCAACATTCAACAATACTAAAAGACTGCAGAAAAGTTGTCGCCATAATCCAAAGACATAAGTGGTCGGATAAACAAACACCTCATCACCAGAATAAAGTATTGTGGAGCCGCAGCTGGTTGGACTAAGCACTGGACTTCCCAACCAAAGGGTCACAAGTTCGAACCCAGCTCCGCCTACAGACGTGTGACTCATCGTCAACTGTGTATGGAATTGTAAGTAGTAGTTGTTGTTGAGTGAAATTAGCTGGTTTACCAGTTATGAAGCTAATTAAGTGCATGCATTTACACATCTCAGAAATCATAACACTTAAACCTAATCCAACCACCATGCAATTGCACTTTTCACAATCAAATAACAAAAAAACACTATATAAAGTACACGACAAAATAACTTCGTGTACTATCAAAATTGTTAAATAAGTAGATAAAATATTTAAAGAAGAGAATTCCATCTGATCGATACACACACACACACACACACACAGACATACACATACGCATACACCATACACACACACAAGCTTACATACACGCGCGCACACGACCATTAGAGAGAGAGACAAGAAAGTACTCTTTAAAAGAAGCACACTGTGAATACTATTTAATAATGAATTTTATCTCTGATCAAGCGCACTTAAAGATGATAGATAGCAAAATGTATTTTAACTAGGATAGAAAGTGCTCGACTAACAACACTATTATGGATATTCTTTTCTATATGATGTTTTACGTAATTAAATGAAAACTTAATATTGAAATGTAAACTCTGTCACAAGTACTATTGTGTGTATGCGTCAGTGTTATATTACCTGGCGTGTTTGAAACACATTTATGGCCTAGTGATTATGTGACAACTGACAAAGCTTCAGTTGCAGCTTTATACTTCACTGTCAAAACTGTAATATCAACTCAACGGGAAGTGACAACACAAAGACAAGAGGGTGAATTTTTTCAAACTGACAAAACATAGTGAAGCTTCTCACAAGAGTATAGCTATATTCACGTATTATGAAGTAAGAGTTCACTTTATGCATATAGTTGGTTATACCGGAAAACACCTGGTTGATTCGCTGGGATTCAGAGGTAAAGTATTACACGAAAGTGCACCATTCCAAGCTAATACACTCCATATAGCAGGCAAACTTGGAGAAGAAAAATTAAAGGAACAAGAATGTGCGGAAATGCATGGGAGAAGGAGTAATCACATGGAGAAACATCAGCACTTAATGACTCACTATGATTAGTCAGAGTCTGATCCATTAGTATTAGAGTGGTGAGATAAAACGAGAAAGGCAGGCATTTGGCAACGCGTGATGGACTATGTATGCATGCATGCATGTCTAAATCCCAATTCAGGTAGGTGTTGGTTGCTTGCTGGGCAAGTTTAGTGTGGCTGTCAACCAGCTAGCTCTCATCAGCCCATTAAAATGTTCCCTACAACGCTCCACCTTTCCAATCTCTTTTGTCTTTTTCGCTCCCCCCCCCACTGCTCAGGGTTTCTGAGACGACTTTCAGTCAGCCCATATTCGTGCGGATACGCGTTTAGCTGCTTCTCCCCTGAATAAAGACTTTGTGGACTCATCAAGTTGAGAGTATAGTTACTTCATAGCTGCCTGCTTTCTATGCCTGTCCACTCTCAGGAATATACTAGAGCCAACTAGTGAGTAAACCGATTTCAAGTGTGAGTTCCACAGGGAACTGAATCTTTTCCATCGATAGCTTATAGTTCGTGATCTACTTGAGAGTATCGTTGATTTGATGTTGGAGATTGCCAGGTAAGGAGATGCTTCCCGTGATGTTTGAAATTAAGGCTTAACACATGAACAAACGAGTATCTGAACGAAAGTGTACAAAACTATCACCGCTGTTTCTCCATCGTCATGCAATTCTGTAAGTGCCGCCAATATTATTTCTTGACTGGTACAGGTTCCTTAATTAGGCGCTGAAGTCATTCATCTGCTACAATGATTATATCTGGGAGCTTCGCTTATAGCAGCAAACTATGTCTTTTCGAAATCTGCATCAATTAACCAACCGATTGTAGTTGGGACGAAGCAAAGCAGGAGTCCTATCATAATCATCCCTTCATATCACGAATCCCTTTAACCGAGCAGCATACATACGAGTATCTACTGCAATCCAATGTCTTTACCTAAGTCTTGATTATTATTCCTATACCAGCAACTCTACACAAACTAGCCGAAGAATCGCCCCACACTCATGTTGACCAGATGCAGTTAAGTGAATAACCGAAACACAACAGAGTACCTCAGCTAGAGATGCCAGATTTGTAGCTGGTGAGACCTGTTGTCAGATATACATGAGGTCGGGACACATAATGCTACAATGTGAATTTAGTAGCATATTTTCTCGGTTCTGGTTGGTGCTGATGATCGCAGAGTTAAAAGAAGGTTGTACTAACAGAAGGAGTAAAGCGAAAAGGTGAAGGTGACTGATGATCCGGAAAGCTTCGTGTGTTTTTATGGAAGCTGGTTTCCCTACTTGAAAATACTAAAAAAGAAGGAGCATTAGTGTTGAGTGACCGCAGAGTCCAGGAGATAACTGCAGCCTGTTTTAAGTGGTTTTTGGAGTCATATCTATGTTAAGGTCTAACCGCCGACTACGGAACGCCGCAAGTAAGTCCGGATTTATGATTTTCAAGGCCGACCTTTTCCAGTCCCCTCCCCATAGCGGGGAGGCAGCATAGCTGCCTTACTGGTCGTCTAAAGGAAACGCCGTACTCCTGAAACATACCTATTCGCCAACATTATGAATTCGCCAGCTTTACCACTACATAAACCCACTTCAGCCGAGATTGCTCTTCAAACAAAGAGTATGTAACACTCGGTTATGCCAGATACTCACAGAAATATATCAGGGGAGGACTTGAAAAAATACTGAGAACTGTTCCACTGAATAAAAGGAGAGTACTTTCAAGTGCTTACATAATTGCATGGAGGATTTCATCATGAGTTGACATCAGTTAGAGAACCACTGGAATCCGTGACCAGTAGGGTACAGCAGGTTGAAGATGAGGCAGTAACTCATCGAAGAATAAAAATTGCGAAATGGTCGCACTATGTCGTCAACTGGCAGAAGTTAGAATTAGAGGGCCATTGGATCGGGTCCTAGTGGCTCAATGGTCTACGAGCTCGCCTTGTAACCAGAAGGTCCTGGGTTCAAAACCCTGTGATGAGTGCGTACTGCGGAAGAGTCCCAAACTAGGGCAACGGAAACAGCTGTCCAGTACTCCCTGCAGGTTTTCCAGTGGTTCTCTAACTGATGTCAGCTCATGATGAAATCCTGCATGCAATCAAACAAAAATCCCTACAAAACCAATACATAATTGTTAAGCAGAAAAAATATTTTTTTGTCTTGTTCTACTCACAATTAACTTCACCATCCAATTAAATAATCGACTCACCTCATTCCAACAACTGATTTATTTTTATAATTCTCTAAAAATTGTGGTGCACCCAGCATAGCTTCAATAAACAAGGCGCTAAAGCCTAATAACTGGATATACACTTGACTGAATGAGAAGATATACGTGCATAGGCCAGATGTGAGCGTGAATAGCCATAGGAATAAAAGATAATGACGAAAATGTGTCCATCGCCAAAAGTTTTCAAACAAAATTTCTATAATTTGAAGAGAAAAAAACAGAGAAACAAGGAAAAGTAAGTCTCCAATCTTTCGCCTTTGTTATCGACTTATACAAAATAGAAATAAAAATAAGTCCAATGATGCAATAAATTGGAATAGAAACTACTGAACGATTAGATTCATAAAAAGACATTCTATAACCAAACCGTTAGTACAACATACAATAGGGGAAACCATAAATTGGTTCGTGTAATGAGCTGTGAATCAAGTTAACTTTTAACAATTTGAAAAAAAATTTCGACATTGGGTATATTATTGTTTCCTTTAATTCCTAGAGGAACATAGGGCTTCAGCCATGCGTCTCCATTGCGTTCGGTTCTCTGCTAGAGTCTTCACCTGGCTCCATGTCTGTCCACACGTTTTCATCTCCTCTTCACATGACCTCCTCCAAGTCACCCTTGCACTGACGACCAACTCGCCGCTTCCCTTCCGGGTTCCACTCGAGCGATGGCTTGTCTAGTGATGCCACTTGATGGTTTGTTTTCTCAGAGTATGGCCAATCCATCTCCATTTCTTCCTGCCTATTTGTTTCACAATCGGTTCCTGCTGGGTTGGTTCGCTCATTGCCAGAGATCTCTATTACTGATCATTTCTGGCCGGCCATCTGATCTTGAGTGGTATTGAGCGAAGACAACTGTTAATGAAGGTCTGTAGTTTGTTTGAGATGCTCTTTATGACGCGCAATGCAAGTCTCTGATCCGTATAGTGAGTAGCACTGACTTCACATTGGAGTTGAAAATCCGGATCTTATTTTTGATGCTGAGTGTTGTTGACCTCCACACAGACTTGAGAGTAATGAAAGCTTGCCTTGCTTTCCCGATTCTTGCTTTGATAATCTCGTCAGTTCCGCCTGTAGTTGAAACGATGCTTCCCAGGTAGGCGAAAGAGGTTGTTTCTTTCAGGTTCCTTCCATTTATACTGGTTGCTGTCTGTTGTTGTTGTTCTTGTCCAGGAATCTTCATTACCTCTGTTTTCTCTATGTTCACCTGAAGTCCTATCTTCTCTGGATGCTTCTTCTGACAACTTGTTGTTTTTCGCTTGCATATCTTCCAGTTTGTGGGAAATCAGACATATATCATCGGCGAAGTCCAGATCCTCCAAGTTATTTGTGTGAGTCCATTTTATGCCTGTTTCCTCATTGCCCGCTGTTTGTCGCATTATCCAGTCTACTGCAATAAGGAAAATCATTGGCGATAGTAGGCAGCCAGCTTGTCTTACTCCTGTCCTCACTTCGAAGGGTTCCGTAAGTTTCCCGTTGTGGATTACTTGGATATTCATTATTATGAAAGTTCTTTTTGTATTTCCCAATGAATGAATGAAAAACAAAACGATGTTGTTTTTACTGGCGTTTCACTATTTAGTGCTGCTAATAGCTTTACCAAAGTAGTATTATTAAACCAGAATTTACAAAATCCACTCAGCTGATATTTAACAAATTAATCATCATTCCTCAGTATGGGGTCATTTTTGCGTTGCTGACAAATTGCCCAATTGGTAAAGATAAGAAAACCAGGTGTAGATGACTGTTGGATTTGATAAGTGTGTAAAATTATAATTATATAAGCAGCGTGTGTTTACAAAAAATAAAATTGCTTATCACATTCGTGTTGATTTTTTCATTTCATGGAGAGACATAGGTGGGTGTTGTAACCAGGTCAAATTTTGTTTTACTCCATCATTCCTATTCAGACAATTTGGATTCCACTTGACATGAAGTGCTTCTGATGATGTGAGACGTTCTTTGTGATTTCTGAAATGCTTTTTCTGGATTATTTCATTCAGTATTGTCAAAATCAGTTTAGGCTGATGATTTTTCAAGCTTTTGTAGTTTAACTGGATTTCTCCGTGGTCGAATACATACGGCACCATGGTGTTCATTTCTTCTGAGTTTGATTTCTCTCTAGCGATGTATGTCCGATGTAAATCGCATCACATTTCAAGCTTTTATAATTTTATACGCTTATCATATATAACAATGCACAGTTGGTTTTGTTATTTTTACCAATTGGCCAATTTGACAACAACGCAAAAATTACTCCAGTCTGATGAACGATGATTAAGTTGTTGCATAATATAAGCTGAGTGGATTTTGTAAATTCTGGTTTAATAATACTACTTTGATAAAGCTAGTACCAGTAGTATTAAATAACGATGAGGGGCTTAAGATTATTAGAGAATTACTTAGAAAGAAAAATGGTTATCCAGATAAATTCATTGAGAAAAATATGAATTCAACACCTAGGAGAGTCAGTATGACTACAGTTCCGAGGAAACCAATGTTCATAAAATTACAGTTCCTCGGAGACAACATCAGCGAAATCATAATACAGCGCCTGAAGAATGCAGTTAAAACAGCTGACTATGCAGCAGAGGTACGTTGTCTCTTCACAGCCACCCCTATTCTATGTTCGAGAAATAAGGATGCACTACCTAAATTTGCCTCCTCTATGTGTATTTACCAGTTTGACTGCAGCTGCGGAATCAGCTACATTGGGCGTACAATTAGGCAGGTTCATCGTCATATTTTCGAACATCATCCAACATGGTTAAGCAAGGGACAAACAAGATCTATTCGTAGTTCTATTTTAGCACACCTTGTTGATACTGAGCACAAAGTTGATGTTAATACTGCATTTAAAATTATTTATCGCATTCCAACTAATCTTAACTTTGCTCTATGAGTTCGTCTTCTACAGACAGCTGAGGCAATCGGAATCCACCTGAAGAAGCCAAGCCTATGTGTTCAAAAGAAATTCGAACAACCACTTTCCTCACCGTGGCCATCGTTACAAGAATGCATAAACAGGACTACGTCGCCCCCCTCCCCCTAAATCTTTAAAAACTATAAAAATTATAATTGTCCAAATTATTTTATTTTTTCTGACCACTTCATCTTCAATTACGTGTTATCCTTGTAAAATTAATTTATTCTAACCATTTCTACCTTTTAAATGTGTATTGATTTTCTTCGTTAATTATCAACCCATTGACATTTTGACACTTTAATTATTGTTAACAAACATATCAGTGCCACTTGATTGATAAACTGTTGTGTATTGTAATAAAAATGTTATACAGAATATATTCGAGTGGAGGCAGAGTGAGATGAGGATCTAATTGAAAAGTAAATATTTCTTCGCTCAATCTTTCTGTTTTATAAAGTGAAATGATTTAAATTTCTTCATGAGTGATATAATTGAGTCTCCCGGTGACCATCTTTACATCTGTATTGATCATTTTTTATTGATTTGGATCGTAAACCTTCTCGTCAAATGATTTACTTCTTATTAGTTGGTATATTCGGTCTATATAAACATGTTTGTTAATCGCAAATTCGTTTGAGTACCAGGCTTCTAGGAAGTCCCTGGGACTTTTGGTGTTACCTCTGTCTAAGATTTTGACATTATCCCAATCAAAATGACGTCCATAATTGCCTATATGTATTGATTTGAAAAAATACATATCATGTCCTTTCACAGCTGATTTGTGTTTCTGGATTCTGATTCGAAGGGGATGCCCACTTTGACCAATGTAATGTCTATTACAGTTCATACAATTCACTTTGTAAACGGTATTGATTTTATCTCCCTTTTCTGTTGGATGTGTCTTTCTGTTAGCACAATATCGAATGAAGTGATTGTGCTGGCTGGCTTGTTTGCTTTATCTATTTCAAACGGTTTCAATATTCTAGCTGTATGAACTGTAATAGACATTACATTGGTCAAAGTGGGCGTCCCCTTCGAATCAGAATCCAAGAACACAAATCAGCTGTGAAAGGACATGATATGAACACCGCTAACTGTAAATCAAAATAATTCCTGAGTGCTCGTTCACAGGGGCTAATTTGATTTCATGTTAGAGGACCCTTGAAAATTGGGTAATACTGAACGGATATTTGGTACAATTTTAGGACTTTTGAGTAGTGTACACTCACGATCCCACCGACGGCTGAGCCCAGAACCTTCAGGTTACGAGGTGAGCATTATCATGAGAAAAGAACTCATTCGTTCCTTCTTGTTTATTCAATACGTTACTGAAAAATATCTTCAGTTTATTCCTATTTTTATCATTACAGGAATACCTTGTCTTGTATACTTAATAAACTGTCTACATAAACTGTAAGACTTCGTAATTTTAAAAACGTTTGCTGATCTTTTCTTTTGTATAATAGTTTTAAGAATTAAGTACTAACTCATAAATTATGCTTTCCCCTATAAGTAAAGACTCTGCCTACGGAGTTAATCTTTTAACTGGAGTTAAGATTTCCCGTCTATCTTAACAATCGGTCAAAAATCTACACCAGTGATGAACTGTTCTCTGTTTGACAGGATTGCATTAATACACACAACTAAGATGGAGATATTAGGTGTCACCTTTAGATCAAGCAATAAGAAGATAAAAAAAAACAACACACAAAAACCGTTTGCAGTCCTAAGCAAATATCATCAAATAAGCATATTCTGTAAAGTCATTGAAGTGTATTCAAGTTTGTATGGAACTCCTACAGTTAAAAATAATTCTTGATATGAGAATAAAACGTGTCCACTTTGGTAGAGTATAATCTCATCGTGGGTAAAATTTATTTTGATAAAAATCTCACAGTAATATGTTTGCTGATGACCACCTTGCGAGCACAACTTATTACTGCTCATAATCATCTCACATCAAGGCACTACTCACACAACTTTCTAACTTCGTTTATATAATTCCATTATTTTTCATCGCTTCCCTTGATTGGTAGTAGTAATGTAACGACAGAAGACAACGGCTAGGCAACAGATCGTTTATTAAAGAAAATCAACACATTTATAGATTTTAATGTACATTATTGTAGATTATTGTTAGTAGAAAATACAGTCTTTTGATTGGTTGTTTCTCCCAGAAAGTTAACCTTGCATCTCTTTGTGGCTGTGTCAGATGCTAACTGTATCCGCCTACGCAAAGCCTTTGTTCTCATTTTCTCACCACCAATATTGGGGACATAAACATTGACATCAATTACTGTCTACCAACTTTGGCTAGTAGCCAGCTCTCACCACACTCGTCCCCCCGTCAAAGACTTGCGACTGAAGTTGGTTCGGTCTTCTCGGTTCTTGGGGCTTTGCTCTTTTGTCTTGCTGTCTGGAATCTCGGCGCTTGTGGATGTTCACCTGTTTCTCTGTGTTTACCATTGCGATTGTGTCTGCGTAACCCCATCTCAACGTGACCATATGTGGTCCTTCCCATTTTGGAAACTGTTTGCCTGACCTTGTCGCGCATTCGTAGGTATTTCGCCTCACACTTTCATATGCTTCTCTCTACCGACCTTCCAGCAGAGTCCCAAGCAGCAGCCTCATCGCTGACCGATCTTGATCGCCACTCAACTGCGAAGAAGCCTCGAATTCCTGCCCGAAGATCCATATGTCTCCATCAAAAACTGCAGGGCATAGGCTGTCTATCTATCTATAACCTCTCTGATCTTCGCATATAGCCAAACATGAAGCACAACTTTAAAAATACAAAATACACAACGTAAAAATTTAGTCGTCTTTGTGAACTTTGATAAAATGTATAAGGTGACATAATTCGTCTAAAACGCTTAATGTGTTTATGCACCAGATTTCGGACATTCTGATCACACACACACAAATAACTATCATAAATACTGAGTATAAAAGTCAACACTGAATCGATATAGATGGGTCAAGGTAACACCAGTTTATCATTACATTAATGCAAAATAAAAATAAATAAAAACAACTGACATTTTTCCCCTTCGCCTAAACCATTTACAAGTTAGTATTATTCTTTCTTAGTATTCTACCTACTACATCAGTAATCTTCTGTTACGTAACCAATCAGCTTGACAGTCATTCATTTCTCGTTTAATCCCCTTAATTATTTTTTCCAAAATTAGGCAAGTATTTTCCACACGTTTCATGCATATCACCTTTAACTGTCGCATTAATTTTCTTGATTGATGATCCCCACTCCTTGACATGTTGATATTGATTAATTAGTGTTAACAAACGTGTAACCACTAGATTGGTAAATTTCTTTATTTTCAAGTATTGGTTTTGTAGGGATTTTGTTTGATTGCATGGAGGATTTCATCATGAGCTGAAATTTATTTAATCTGATGCTCACTAGCGATTGGCCCTTTTCAGGCAGTTAACCTAGGGTTCTAGTGAGAAGCCGTGACCAGTAGGGTACAGCAGGTTGAAGATGAGGCAGTAACTCATCGAAGAAGACATTGCGAAATGGTCGCACTATGTCGTGAATTGGCTGGCAGAAGTTAGAATTAGAGGACCATTGGATCGGATGGGTCCCAGTGGCTCAATGGTCTACGAGCTAGCTCACCTTGTAACCAGAAGGTCCTGGGTTCAAAACCCTGTGGTGAGTGCGTACTGCGGAAGAGTCCCAAACTAGGGCGGAGGAAACAGCTGTCCAGTACTCCCTGCAGGTTTTCCAGTGGTTCTCTAACTAATGTCAGCTGCTCATGATGAAATCCTCCATGCATTCCTTTTAAAACAAAAGTTACAGAAAGTTAAGTAAGGTATGGACCCAGATCTAAACCATGAACTCAATTCCATGCATAAAGTGGTATTAGAACAAGAATGGAAATATAAAGTCTACATTCAGCCACCATTATAACAGACCTAACTCATGAGTTCATGGTTCAACCACGTACACACACATATCTATCAACATCTGACTGAATATGTTAGTAGGTTGATGCAGATAACTTGTGGGAAAACTGGTGCATCAAAAGAGAATTTATCACAGAAGTATACAAGTACAGCTTGCCAAACTATATGAGATGAATATACAACTGCGTCACAATGCATTTTATATATTACTTACACCAAAACTGTCTCAATCCATTAACTCCTGTAGTCACCCCAGAACAGCATCAAAGGAACTTACACACCTCCTTTCGCCTTAAACCGACAGTCAACGACCTGTTATTTCTACCTCGTTCACCATGACACAATTGTATTCACCTCTACTGTCTGTCTGTTTTCGACATAGAACTTTGCACATATGTGCGGCAGTTCAAGTCACCACACTCCCTCCTTGTAGCACACAAAGCAAGAGAAAAAAGTAGGAGAAATGCATATTAGAGACAGTAAACAGAGGTGTGAGACAAAGGAATAGTAATAACGAAGAACAAAACAGTTTACTTGGAAATCATAAGTCACAAGGAGTGGATGCATCTGTACTATGAATTGAGAACGATTTTCAGCTAAATCACCGGTTGTTTACAGCCATTGGTTTTTACCGTCCCGAGGAACCCAACCAAACAGCAGTCCACACCTCATTACCTGGATGGCTTAAATTAACTGTTGTGGATTTCATTGACTGGTGAAGCCATGTTTTGGTTTGACTGCCGCTAGCTCTTTTCCAGCCTGATTCTATGTCAGCTAACATTGACCGTGGTCGAGGAAGGTGATGACTAGGCATACGTAACACATGTCCTCACCATCTCAGTCGATGTAATTTCACAGTCTGGTCGATTGATTTCCCCTTCCCTCCATACCTAGCACTCGACCGAGACCTCATTTCGTATTGCTCACCTTATTATACCACTCCACACAGGAGATAGAACGCAGACACCTATGATCAAAGACAGCTAATCTTTTCATGTCTTCCACTCTCAATGGCCAGGTCTCACAGCCATAAACGAGGACGGAGAGGACTGATGAGCAGTTCACACGCCCTTTGGTCGATAGTCTGATGTCACGTCTACGCCAGAGACCTCTACACATCTTCCGGACCTTGAACATCTTCACCAGTCTCTTTTTGAATTGTTTGTTCTATCATACTTATTTTTTGTCAGTTGCAATCTCCGAGGTTTGTGCTAAGTACTACTTTAATAAGACTATCAATCACCAAGTTAACCCTATTTCATTTAACATCGCAATTCTAAGACACCTCAGTTGGGGGAAGGTTTACAACCTCATTGCTTGACTTTACCTAGCATATCCGACACTGTATACCATACTGTTCCACGTAAACTGAGTAATTAGTCCACTGGAGAGCGTTCACAAGTACAAATAGGTCAGAATTAACCGCCATGCAGTACACATACAGCCTTTCATAGACAGCCAGGTGTCACATCGCCACCTGTTTGAAACTGCCTTATGTGTAAACTCTCCCAAGATTTCGCTAGCGAACATGAAAACTTGTAGATTACACGAGTATGCATTAGTATCCACTAAACGATTCCTGTATGAGGTAAATTACTCGTACATACAGTGGAACAATACGTACAGGATTTCGGATAACACAGTCTTATTTTCAGTAACGTCATATTCGCCGAACAATGAGAGGTTGGGCGTGGGATTAGCTACCCTACCTCAGGAAATCAACCCAATCGCTACGGAAACTTCAAAGAGCGGAAGAATTTTTTTTAAAAACTTATTCTTCCCTGAAATCAAAGAGTCAGTAATCTATTGTAGTCACCCAAACGATAAACACGAACAACATGAAGGAATAATTAACATGATTTCAGCAACAACATGGAAGGCGGTAGCAATCCATTTTTCCCATGGATAGTGATAGCAAGATTCAACTCTAAAGATAGGAAAGGTGTAATTATCCAATTCTATGCTAGTGCAGACAACACTGATCCCGTGGGGAAGAAGGGGGACTGCAGAGGACAGAATGAGGCGAAGATGTGCTGATTTTTTACTAGGAACCCAAGGAAATAATATATATATATATGCAGTGTTATCACTAACTAGACAGCTAAAATTGTTGCCATAATGATAAAAGATTTTAGGGAATGTTGATATTTTCACAGATCTTAGCGATGAAACCAGCCAACATTAGCTTTTGTGGTTCAATTAACCGTGGAATTGTATTCTATGCTCTAGCTTTTACACCATTGATTTGGATAAACAGATCGTTTACATATTTGTATGGCTTACTTTTAAATCTATTCATACTCTGATCTTCTGTTTCTGATTTTTTCGTGGAGATGGTCGAAGGTATTGAAGCGGAACGCTTCATACGAGATATTTTTGTGATTGTTTTCATCAGGACAAGCATTGTAATAATCATGACGAAACTTTGCGAAAGTAATGATGAGGAGAAAGGTTGTACGAACCTGAAAAGGAACAATAATTAATTCATTAATTAATAATAATAATAATAGTAATAATAAATTATCTGCTTTATTCCAAGACAAACAGTACTTATAATACAGCATGGAATTTTCAGTATTCGTCAGAATATTGTATCTAATTACTCAAAACAATTCTACGGTCAACTAAACATGCATAAACCCACAGTTCCATTAAGACCAGTAGTCGATTTCATCAACTCACCGACATACAGCCTCTCTAAATACTTATTTTCGATACTACAACCACCACAAAAGGACACTCAAAATATTGTAAACGATTCATATGATTTAAAATCCCAAAAATAGAACACCGAGAAATTGATAAAGAAGACATTATGGTAAGTTATGATATTAACTCAGTATATACTAGTATCCCTATTACCGAAAGTCTTGATATCATTTCCAGTCTTCTAGAATCAGATACAGAGCACACAGTTGTCCACGGGATACCAGTTAATAATTAAGAGCTTAAATTTCTGTCTGGAAGGTAATTATTTTACATTTACAGGCAATTTATATATACAGACAAATGGTGTTGCTATGGGTTCACCAGTTTCCCCAATAGTCACTGATGTTTTCGTGAGTAGATTCCAAGATAACATCTTTTCAAGCATACTCCCTCCTAAAATATGGATAAGATATGTGGATGTTACTTTTGTAGTGTTAAAACGAGACCTACACAGTTCATTCCTGGAGAAAATAAACTGTGCATCTCCCAGAATCCAATTCACTTCGGAAGCAGAATCAGACGTCGGTGAACTACCATTTCTAGACTGCCTAGTTAAGAGGAGGGAAAACGGACATTTTAGTATATCTATATTCAGGAATAAAACCCACTCCAACAACAAATATTTAGACTTCAAACCATCACACCCCCATCAGCGCAAAGGTATCAGTTGTTTCAAGTCGTCTTAGACGAGCACACTCTCTGAAAACGGATGAGAAAGAAAAAGAAGAAGAAATATCAAGCATTACTGAGATTCTCAAGCAAAACAAGTACCCAACGAACTTCATCAAAAAAATCAACACTGACATTAAGTATGGTTGAAAACGTATTCCGAAAACATGGACCTCAACAGTTGTCATTCCATATAAAGCGGAGACAACAGACGATATCAATAAGCTCGACATCAGAGTTTTCTTCAAAACATCAGACACATTGCGAAACAACCTTGTCCATATAAAAGATCCAGTCCCCTCAATGGTTTGGTGTTAGCACGCTCGCCAACCACGCATGTGGTCCGAGGTTCGATCCCAGGCCACCGACGCACTCCTTTACCCTGCTAAGCAAGTATAAGACTGGTAAGAGGGAAGGTTGAGCATGAAGCTAGCAACTCCATTCCGTAAAATTAAACTTCAAGTCTCTAGATTGAAGCCCTATGTTCCACTGGGAACGTAAAGGAATAAAATAATTAAAAGAAAATAAATGGCTTCACCTGCGTGTTATTTTATATATCTTTTGCTATAGCTAAACTAGTAATGGAATATTTATGAATAAAAAACATTCAATGAAGTAGTACAGTTAATCTAATAGTGTTAGGATAGAAAGCCTATCATTGTCAGTCGTGAGGTTATGATTAATGCATGCGCTGATATAACGACCTGATTGGACAATTTTTGACTGCAATCACACACAACCATACAATAGGATGGATGGGATAAGATGACAGTTTCAAAATCTAATGTAACAGGGTGAACGGAGAGATTGATTACAGAAGGTTTGTTTATCGAATCAACTGAGAGAGAATACGTGTAATAGGAATGATTCAACATCTGTCCACCCAGATATCTGGAAAATTCTACTACGCCAACGACGACAAATAGGAGAGAAAAAAGAAAACTGTTGAACTCAAGTTTCGAAGTCTTGTGATTATAATTGATGAAATGATTATGAAAAATAAATTTTGTTCCAAACATTGTCATCCATTAAATAATACTGTTTCACTCACTGTGTGATGTATCTAATAAACAAACTAATATGGAATTACTAAACCTCACCCAGCAGAAAACAAGCCCATGATATGACTATGAGCAATAGTTTGTGCTCGAAACGTCATCAGTTAATATTACTGTACAACACTGTGTGATTTATCAAAATAAAATCTTATCCATAATGGAGTTATACTCTACCGCAGTGCCCAAGTTTTATACTTTTATCACGTCTTCCACTCTCAACGGCCAGGTCTCACAGCCATAAAGGAGGACGGAGCGGACTGTTGAGCAGTACACACGCCCTTCGGTTGATAGCCAGCCGGATATCACGTCTACGCTAGAGACAGCTTAAACTGGCATATGTGAAACGACCCCTCTGTATCTGTTCTGAGGTTTTGTCAGCGGTCAACCCGCTGGCACTGGCTGATGCAACGTCCCAAATAAGTGAAGTGGCCGAAACGCTACACAAACCACTTCCCTCCCTATTGCTAAACTAGGAGTCAATGTAGTCCAGTCCAGTCCTGTAGCATCATCTTACATTTGGCGAGAGAGAATCGCATGCCAAACGTTTGCAGATTCCGGTTCAAGTTGTTCAGAAGACTCTGCTGCATTTTGTCAGCGTCTTCCCCACCTAGGAGGGAGGACTATATCATCTGCATATTCTAAATCAACAAGATTATTCCCTGGTAACAAGGCGATCCCTGAGTCTCTGAAGTGAGCTAGGTTTAATTCCATTATTACATCTATGATGAAATCGAGTCGAAATAGGGATAATGGGCATCCCTGACGGACACCACAAGTTGTCTCCACTTCAGATGACATCTTCCTGTAAGCTCTCACCGGGCTGACTGCATGAGTTCAAGTAGAGTGCCTTAATCAGTGCAATGTATTTTCTTGGCATTCCCTTTACAGCCAAGCATCGCCAGCGTACCTGTCAGTCTACAGAATCAAATGACGTCTTTAGGTCAAGAAATATGACGATTGTTGGACGCCGGTAAGTATGCCTATGTTCCAGAGTCTGTCAAAGGGTGAAGATACGATCAATACACCCTCTTCCTGGTCTAAAACCTGACTGGTTCTCTCGTGTTTGTTCCTCCCGACCACCACTCAGTCTACGCCTAGAACTTTAGATACCACCATATTAGTCAAGCCAATCACCCTGTGATTATCACAGAAAGACTTCTCCCTTCTTGTATACCGGGATAACCAATTACATACACCAGCCCGACTGGACTATCTCTGATTCCCAGACGTTGCCTAACACCCTAGTTAACCCAGACAGTTAATTGTCTCCACCGTCCTTAAACATCTCTGGAATCATTCGATCAGGTCCAACTGCTTTGCCTCGTTTCAGATTAGAGACAGTTTTTGTAACCTCAGTTAGGGACGGAGGACCTGTGTCTATATCCCATGCAGGGAGGTGTTGGATGTTAGGTAAGTTCAGTCTGGATGTAGGCCAATTAAACTGCTCCTTAAAGTCTTCTTTCCAACATTCTAGTCGTCTATCCTGGGAGCTAATTATGGTGCCATTTTTCTCAGGGATGATTTGCCTTTTCCATCTCTTTCCCTTTTGTCAGCCACCACTGTTCACGGTCGTTACAAAGGTTTCTTGTTAGTTTGCGTTTGATCAGCTTTCGCTCATCACATTCGGAGCTCGCCGGAAACAGTCTTCTTGCGTCAATCAGTTCGGATGAGGTGGTAGAAATCTAATCGCTCTTACTAACTTTAGGTTTCGAGTTATTATCAGCTTTTACAGCCGTGTCTACAGCTAACTGTATGTTGTGTCAATCTTCCTCAGGAGGAGCCCTGCTGTCGACCTCAGATACTCGCTTCGCTATTTCTTCCTTAAATAGGGATTCAGAGTCTTGACCTAGTTGGGGACGTAACTGCTTCGCTGCCAACAATTTCTTATGTCCGTTTAGATGTAAGCACAAATGTGCGCGGACCAGGTCGTGGTCAGGGTCTACACAAGTGTTCCAAAAAGAGCGGCAGTTTTCTGCTGACCCTCACCGACGATACCCTATCGCTATGTGGTCTACCTGAGTCCAGTTCTGATTTGGTGATGGAGGTCACCAGGTTAGGCAGTGTCTCTGACTAGGAACAAATGATTATCTGAACGGAACTTTAGAAGACGATCACCGTTGTCGGGTCGTCGGCAGGGAACTCCATACGTACCACCTACACACTTCTCAGTCTGGCACAACTTCCCAAATTCGGCATTCAAGTCACCTGCTAAAACAGCTATATCTGAACGTCTTGCATTTTGCAGCAAATTAGACAGTTTCAGGTAGAAATCATCCTTTATTTCACCCGAACTGCAACCTGTTGGGGCGTAATTGAAGACTACTAAAAGACAACGACGGGTAACGCCATCCTTCCTTCTTCTAACGGACCGCACACATCCGACTATATACTGGGATCCAGTCAAGAAATGATTTTTCCGCCCTAACACTCAATGCTATCCCTACACCTGCGAGTCCTCACGAACTAACTGAGGGGTCTCATGACACACTTAAAGTGAATTTCGCAGATTCACTTTGGTGGTCGGGTGAGTTCAAGTGAATGACCACACATTTGAGTCTTGTATGCATGTCTCTGAAACAAAACATAGATCCATGGCACGAGATGCCAGAGTTCTTGCTAGTGATGTCTGTTGTCCGATTCGGCAGAGATTCCTGAGGTTGAATGCTACTATATGAAGTTGTCGACGTGGCTTTAAGAGGCTCTCAGGGTGTTTCTATGGCTCTCATCATTGTTTGTGGTCCCAGGGTGAAATGAAGATGGCTCACTAGCCTGAAGAATAGTGCTAACTGTAGTAGGGGAGTAAGATGATGAAGGTGATGTGGGTAAAGGAGAATGATGCTCGAGGCTTCGTGTGCTCTTGGAAGTGTGTGGGCGGTTGTTACTTCCCAGTTGCCCACACCGTGGAAGTTGGCTGAGTCTTCGGGTACCTGAAACAGAAAGAGAGTTAGTGTTGCATGACCGAGGAGCCCAAGGTACAACTGCTTGAGGCTGTTCACACAAGCCTTGTATGAACTGGTTTCTGGGATTGGTTCCGTATTAGTAAACTTACCGCCGGTTACGGACCACCGTAGAGTAATTCGGGATGTACAATTGTTGGGGTGGACCTCTTTTAACCCACTCTCTCCAGAGTGGAGAGACAGCATAGCTGGCATGCTGGTCATCTGAGGGAAACATTCTACTGCTGTTACATCCCTGTTCCCTAGCAGTACGACTTCACCCGCAGACCCCCAGCATAGTGTACAAAAAATTCTTACACTAAGTCCGTAGCTGCTTTGAGTCTAATCGCTGTCCCAACAACCTTACTGGCATGGTAGGACCTGCAAAAACAACAGTTCCAGCCACTGTAGCTTGTTGAGTCACTGCGATATGCAAACCCGACCACCACGTCAAGATAGCAGCTATCAGTCGGACAGGATATCCTTGCAGTTTTAAAACGTTCAAACTTAGAAATATACATCTGAGGAGTAAAATCATTGTCAGTTTACCTACATGAATACAAACCGCTTAAACTTTGGTCATTTATTCACTTAGCAAAAATTTCTGAAATCTATGATAACACTGACAAATATTATTTTATCTCTCATAATGGCAAATCGCAAAATCCAATCACCATACCACAAGTGTTGATTTGTAAGCACCAGTAAGCATGCCCAATTAGCATCTGATAGAATATACACATCTATATAATTATGGATCTTATCGATTGTTTTTTGACAAATTCAGGGTAGGATGTATCAATCTAAGCATTCTACTTCATGAATCGAACCCGAGGCTGAAAATTCAAGCCGTCTACTGGGTAATATAACCCCTTATAAATAAAGTATGTCTAGTGGGAGACAGTATGAACACTGAGCTGGTTCCTGGGCTCCACTCTTAAGAATATGATAGTGAATAACACAGTATTCTTACAAATATTCCCATCCGTGTCATTAATTGTTAAATTGTCTAAATCTATTGTTTCCTTTAACCTGAGTTCTACATTTCGTATGAATTCACAGCCAAAACTACAATTCATTTTTTTCTCGTATTACGATGATTTATGATTTACAGTGATAAATGAGCACTAGTGCGTCTGTGGCATAGCGGTTAGGACGCTCGCCGACCATGCACACGGTCCGGAGTTCAATCCCCGGCCGACGCACTCCTTTACCTCTCTAAGCCAGAAATAATGCTGGTGAAGAGGAAAGGTTGGGCATGAGGCTAGCAACCCAATTCTGTAAAAATAAACACCACTGCTACCGAAATTTCAAGCCTCTAGCTGAAGGAACATGAAGGAAAAAGAAAAGAATGATTTCCAGTGATAACTGAGCACTAAGTACTACTTCATGGTTGGTAATCCGAAAGACACTATATACTGTCAAACAGACAGTTAGAGGAGTGGTTTCCGTTTGCAAACAGGCCACACATTATCAGTTGATTAACAAGGGATATATACTGGTGTAATCCTTCAGGGAATTAAATTCGGTTACCACTGCAAATTACGTAGGCGTGATAAATGTATGTATGCCATTAATTTTCAGATATATCGCCAGACAAACCGGGTATCCTTCTAGATATACAGATGACTTGTCTTACGGTGTATTTAAAAGAAAGCGATTATTTCTCAATATCAAGATTTCGTACATCAGAAAAGACTTACCAAAAGCATATTCTTAAAATGTTGGACAATAATAGAACAAGACAAACATGCGTAGAAAAGCCTTTAACTGATTGTGTTTTGCGAATTTCTATTAATTGTGGAATGTACGGAATAGCTCCACCGAAAATATAAAGAAGGCTAAAGATGCTGTGTATCATTTGACTAGGCTCGTCCGTAACCACTTTATCCGTGTTATCAACATAAGACATAAATTAAACTTGGAGCTATCTGTAAGTAAGAGAAAGAAAAACGAAATACTTGGGCTTTTGTTACCAATATATATTGAGTTATTAAATTATTGTTCTAGTGTTTAATCGCTTAAGTTATTTTATAATAAACGATCCAAGCGACTCATGCCAGTAGATTGTTGTAATGAATAACTACAAGAATTCATCTGCTTAAGTGGTACTTCCTTACGCCCCATTTCTAATGAACAACCACACTGGACAACCACACTTCACCTTGTTTTCTCTTCCAGTGTTGTTATCATAATCATAGTTTCAGTTTAACGACAGAACTTGAACCGCCTATAAATAACCTTGTATCATTCTGAAGTTCATCCATCCTTTGAAAATATTACGTTAATTTTTCTAAATGCGTATAAACTGACTCAGAAATTTCGGTACTACCACCTTTAGCTACGGTCTAAGTTGAAAATTATATCAGTGAGAACATACAGTATTTTTCTGGACAACTCTTTTTGTTTCCCTATTCATCAATAACGAAAAATAAAAAAGCATCTCTACAGAGTCAAAATGTTTCAGAATTCCTTATGTCAATTCAAAATACGCTTGGTAAGTAGTACACATAGATGAATATCTATTTCCATTTCAGTGTACAAGATTTACAAAAGCCATGTAGGTATTCATAAACTGTATTATGCTTATCCATTCAATGTATCACTTATATTTAGAGTCTACTTACATCACACACGAGGAACATATTCTTTTGCCGACAGTGAAATATGAATTACCGAAAGTTGTTACTAATATTGAAATAAAACAAGTGTTAGGTTCGAACAATCCACGTAAGTAATGTGAAACAAACTGAATACTAAAATTTTTTGTGGGAAATTGACTAAATCCCCGATGAGAAATAAATTTATAGGAGGGTGAGCAAGAGATTTATGCACTAAATCGCCTCTCACATTACATAAGAATACTTTAAATAACATGTTATCTGATCCTGATTATACTGAAAAAGTTCTAGAGCACAAATTTCCGTAATGAGGGGACAAACTTTATACACAAAGAAAAGCGTGGGATAAATACCTTGCTATTACTACCTTAACACATCTAGTGACTGTGTAGCCGGGGAATAAACAGAAACTCACTTTCTATACAAACCGAGTGCTGACCCTCAAGGTGACAAAAATAAAGGTGTTGCAGTACTTAAACAAATTGAAAGCTACTTGTTTACAAAAACAGTGTAGACAGAGATGACTATATTTTTTCAGCAAAAGATGAAGAAAAGAAACCGCTGCATCACTATAAACAGTTAATTTTAAAGGTTTTGATAACGGATAAACTGCATGGCGAGTGAGAAAACACAGTACTTGCCAAGGAGAGAACATGTTAAAATGTCCAATACTACTATATTTGGGACTATCTACCATAAAAGTACTATTTCTTCTATCCATGTGATTGTTGTTCCTGCATCATTCTGGAGTGTCAGTAATTCCATCAAAATTGGTCAACTTGAGTCTACAGTTTTGGTGGAACAGTTAAAAAGAAATACACGGACTTTTCCGAGGGAATGTGTCATTTGGATGGGGTTTGAGATGGTGCTAGAATCAGCATTTTCCTGCATTCACTCTTTCAGTAACATCAACAACCACTCCCAAATCAATTTTTTTGAATCGAGTCATGAATGACTGACGACGGATTTCAGTATAAAACTTTTCAAGGATAGGCAGCAGTTGGAGTTGCCCCAATCCGTGAGCCACACAATAAAAGACAAACAGAAAAGCAGACTCAGAAAAATGATAATAAGCTGAAGTATGAGGTAGTGAGAATATTTTCATGGTAAACACTAGGGTATTGTAGATATGGATGTCGAAGATCTTATTATGTAAGTGGATCTGTGTCACTCAGAACGCTTTTGAGCCATATCATCAACGGTTTACAGCCATAGATTCTTGCCATATTGAGGATTACAACCACGTATTCCACACCTTCGTACATGGCTGGAACTAACTGTCAAGGATTTCAAGAACTGACATCAGGCATGCATAGAGCAGATCCTTGCCATCTCAATCGATTCATGTTCGTGACCTCATGGAATAGCCTGCACTCTTTATCTAACACTTGAAGTCTAACCACCCACTATGGGAGATAGAGCCAAGATGCCTGTGATCAAAAACAGCCATCCGAAATCTTCATGTCTTTCACGCTCAGTGACCATGTCTCACAGCCAGCAATAAAGCAGGATGGAGTGAACTGCTGCTGAATAGTATATACGTCGTTTGATCGATAGCTAACAGGATATCGAATCTATGTAGGAGATTATGTAAGTTGCAAATCCCACATGAGCCTTCAGTGTCCACGGTGACATTTCGTCAGCCACCAGACATTTGAAGCCAATGCAATTTCCTAAATAAGTAAAGTGGTAACACTTTGTACCACATTACACCCTTTCAGTTCAAGCTATGAGTCCATCTAGTCCAGTCCTATAATAGAATTCTAAATTTGACGGGTGTAAATCGCCTGAGAAAAATTTAAAAATTGTCGCTCAAGGCATTCAGAAGACTTTGCATTTTGTCAGTGTCACAATAATTTTCGGAGAGTTCTGAATTATCTGCATATTCTAAGTTGTAAGGTAATATGGTGAGTGAGTGGAAAAAGCGAATGCAAGCCAGGATAAACTATAAGGGATTAAATGGATAAGATAGTGAGAGAAAATGCTCATGGAATGAAACATAACAAAACATAGTGTATGGTTAGATAGAGATAATAAAAAAAGGAATAGAATAGAATCGTTAGGCATATAAAAATAGGTAAGAAGTTCGTAATACTAGTACACACCTCCTACTCCCATATAAAAGCTCTGAAACCTATTATTTCCACAAAATGTTCTAGGGTCCCATCTAAAGCAATTGACTGAGATACTTTTTTGCAGTGTATTCCACTGGTCGCAAACCCTACGGGAGAAGTTAGCCGTTACCTTCTGAAAAGCAATTATGTTAGTACTACTGAAAGGGATACTGTATTGCTTTTTTATGTCCCTGTGATACTATTATGTAATACCGAGACAACGTCGTTCCTGGTCCTTCGGTGATTAAGAGCATACATTCACACGTTTTAAACCATTGTAAGTTTGGTGGCAATTCAGTTCAGTTGATGGCTTTGGTAGCCCTGCTTACCACCGTTTCTAAGGTCTCATCTATTTTGAGGAGTAACAGTGCAGTTGCAATGTGGACTTCTGAATAGTGTCGTACAAACGTAAGTACCCTTAGCTGCTTACGAACAAAGTGGAGTATTATAGTAGATTTGGTTTGTCTTCCTGACACTCTGTTGGTTCTTCTTGTAACACATGGTCACCCACATTGTCACATAACATGCACAGAGAGCTGTCTTTCTTCAGGAGATGGTCTATAAAGGTAAATGATAGCAACGGGCCTCGAAACACTCCTTGAAATAAACTAATGGTTGATGCTTATGTGGTAAGGGCGCACTAGGTTCATCTACGTCCAAAACTGCCTATTATCCGCAACATATTCTGCAAGCAAAGCGGAAGGCTTGGTCTACGTGGCGAGAGTCGAACCGACCACGACGTATACCCGGAACTAAGGAACGGGTGCAACACAAGAGTCCGGAGTGACAGTAGGTCATTTCAGACTAATCCTGCGAAAACCTCCGGGTGGACCCCGAAAGCCCGCATCGATTCATGTCGGAAAGAAAGCCTGCCAACCAGGAGAAATGCGCCTTATTAGGCCCAAATGGTCAATATCTCACTAGTCTGGAGATGGCGGAAACATTCAGTTTAGCCTTAGCCCAAACAGTTGAACAGCAATGTGAATATTACCATTACGGACCAAAATGGTGTCACTACTATTTCACTGGAGGAAGATCTAGTGGCTACTCCTCAAATAAATCCGGCAGTGGTGCTAGGTAAGCTAAAGAGACTCATATCTGGAAAGTTCCCAGGTTGTCGTCAGGCCATCTGCTCTGAAACAGTGCTCCAAGGTTCTCTGCAGACCCTTATGCGGCTCGTTCCAACACTCGATGGATTCAGGGAAACTGCCAAGGGAGTGGGAAAAAGCCATCCTTTCTCCGATTTTCAGGGGTGGGGATAGGCAAAATGCCACTAGCTATAGACAAGTAGTCCTACTCCCAGTGGTATCAAAAGGACTGGAAAGTATGATTAATGATTACATCAGGAAGCATCTCGATAGGACTAACAGACTCCATGAAGTTCAACATGTTTTCAGGAAAGGCAGATCCTGGCGCTGCATAACACTGTGTGGTTTAATCAAAATAAAATTTTACGCATAGTGAAATAAGATATATATATAAATTACAACAATTATTACCTGGTGAGCAAAGAAAGAACAAACACTGGTGCGAAATAATATGGATCCACTTTATTTCGTTGGTTCTCCTCATCATCTGCGTACAACCCACAGTCTTCAAAAGTCAGTGTTAAGTTTAGCCTATTTTTGTCTACCACCTTGGTTAATTGTTTTCCACATGACAAATAAGGGCAAATTAAAATACAAAAATGTGGCTGCTTTTTGACGACTGAGTTAAGCAATAATACCTTATAATCGCCGTTGCTATCGGTGGTCCTTACTACACATTCTATGTGCGAAGGGGGTCGCCTATCAGTTAATATAGCTTGAGCGTTTATTGCGTGTTCTATTTGACTAAATGAGCGTACACGTATTTCCTAGTACTTCTTCACGTTTATCAATGTGCGCAGACGTTGTGGCTACTCGACGCCCACAACGTAAAATCAGAAGGCACTTGTGAAGAGTATAATCGTGTATTATAGCCGTAGTCAAATTTCGAAAAAGTATCAAGGTAACGTTCAACAGTAAATTGACAAATGTTTACGAAGTACATATAAAATCGATATGTGTAAACATATAATATGAGTATGCAAATTAAATTAAAAACGTATGTTTATAGTTGGTACAGGGGTACTACATAATTCCCCCACCAGAACACTGAAATATAAAAAAAATACATTTAAGTGTTCGACAATAACATGCATCAGCGTAATACGTAACAGCTACAGTACACAGAAAGCGATTTATTAAGCTGAAAAAATGAGCAATTTAATGCGGTCAATAAGGCCGATAATAATTGCGATAATAAAACAAAAAATAGGATTGATGATCGTGGTAGAATATATAAGGAATGATACAATCGGCCGGGGATCTGTAGTCTGTATACGGAAACGATACGTGAATATTAAGCGCTATATGATTAAATGTAATAATACAGGAAATATCAATGTTAACATAGTAGTGACGTGATCGACGTATGAAGATATTAATCAGTTAAATGTGTAGTCAAATGACAATTACGAATAAAGATAATAAAAATGAAAATTCGTAATAAGTTATATTTTGATGATTTGCACATAACGTTTAGGCCAATGAACTCTCCTACCAGAGCGTGTAGTTTTCATAGGTTTCTCTGGCGACGTTGAAGCTTGCGTGGATGTAGATGTTGGCACGTCGTTCAGCTGATCTTTATCGTTGTCTTCGAAATCGTCGATGAACGCTGGTTTGACTCTGTCGACACTGATGGCTTCTGCTTTATTCAGTCGTTCTATCGTGATAACTTTATCGTTTCTATTTAGAACTTTGAATGGGCCATCATAAGCTGGTTGAAGTGGTCGTTGTACACCCTCTCTCCTGACGAAGACGTGAGTGCAATCTGTCAGTTGTGGTGGGATGTATGACGTTCGTTCCTGCTGGCGTGGAAGTGATATCTTGAGCTCGTTCATGTGTTGTTTTAGCTGTTGCACATAACCAGTCATATCTTGTGGAACTTGGTTACCTGGGGTGAAAAATTCTCCTGGTAATCGTAATGTTGTTCCATAGACTAGTTCGGAAACACAGCAGCCAATATCTTTCTTTAGAGCAGATCGTATACCAAGCAGTACCAGTGGGAGTTTGGTTGACCAGTCGTTTTGAGTCAAAGAAGCAGCTAGCGCAGCTTTGAGTTGTCGATGAAGGCGTTCAACCATGCCGTTGGAACTAGGATGGTAGGCGGTCGTTCGTATTCGTTTGATGCCCAGTAATTCAGTTAGCTGTTGAAAAAGTCGACTTTCAAACTGAGCACCTCTGTCCGTAGTGATAATGGATGGGACACCAAAATTAGCTATCCAGTTTCCGACCAAAGCTTGAGCTACCGTTTCAGCTGA